GGCTTCGATAAGTGCTCAATGGGGACGATGTTTAGAAGCTCTGAGTTCATGCTGCTGGCTAACTTTGAGAGGGCATCTGCATGGGCATTTTCTAGACGGGGGACTTGAGTCAGTTCGAACTTTTCGAAATGGGGAATTATGTCCAGAACCAGCTTCAAGTACGCGAGCATGTTACCATCTTTGGCTGCGAAATCCCCATTTACCTGATTCACTACGAGCTGAGAATCACTGCTTGCTAAGAGCTTCCTGACCTGCATTTCCTTGGCGAGCCTTAGTCCTGCCAGAAGGGCCTCATATTCGGCTGCGTTGTTCGAGGCTCTGAAGCCGAATCTTACCGCACAATTTAACAAATGGCCTTCCGGGCTCTCCAGCACGATTCCTGCCCCCGCGCCAGCCTCTCCTGAAGACCCATCTACAAACAATTTCCATGTGGGGGGCTCGGTTGGTTCCATTAGGGCCTCCATTTCTGGGGCTTTGGTAAATTCGACCATAAAATCGGCAGGGGCCTGGCCCTTGATAGCGTGTCTAGGTCGGAACGTGAGATCGAACTCGCTGAGCTCGATAGCCCATTTCAGCAGGCGTCTCGATGCGTCCGTCTTCTGCATTACTTGCCTCAAAGGAAAATTGGTGAGGACTTATATTGAGTGAGCTTGGAAATATGGCCTCAGCTTTCTTGAGGCTGTAATAAGTGCGAGTGCCAGTTTTTCCATGTCGGAGTAGCGTGTTTCAGCTGGGAGAAGTGCTTTGCTGATGTAATATACCGGCAATTGACGCTCATTTTCTTCCCTGGTTAGGACCGCGCTGACTGCCGCGTCTGAAACTGCTAGATACAGCAACAGAGATTCATCCGGATGGGGTTTCGATAGGAGGGGCGATTCACCGAGGTGTTTCTTTAGAGACTCGAAGGCTTCTTGACACTCCGAAGTCCACTGGAATTTCTTTCCTTGCTTCAATACATTGAAGAAGGGCAAACTTTTATCAGTGGCTCTGGAGATGAAGCGGCTGAGTGCGGCTATCCGGCCATTGAGGCTTTGGACCTCCTTCGGTTTCTGAGGTGACCTCATTTCTAGTAAAGCCGCTACCTTTGCCGGATTTGCCTCAATTCCTCTCTGATTTACAATGTATCCCAAGAACTGGCCTGATGCCACTCCGAAAGTGCACTTGAGGGGGTTCAGCTTCATGTTATACCTTCTGAGTATCTGGAAGGTTTGGTCAATGTGGCTCACGTGTTCGGCCGCCTGGAGGCTTTTGACCAACATGTCGTCCACGTAGACCTCCATGGTTTTGCCAATGAGTTCGGCAAACATCATGTTGACTAACCTCTGATATGTGGCCCCGGCATTTTTCAATCCGAAGGGCATAACTTTGTAGCAATACAGCCCCTGTCCGTAATGAATGATGTAGCTTCCTCATCAGGCCGGAACATGGGTATCTGGTTGTACCCTAAGTACGCATCCATGAAACTCAGTAGTTCATGCCCAGCAGTGGAGTCCACCAGTTGATCAATTCTTGGAAGTGGGAAACTGTCCTTGGGACATGCCTTATTCAGGTTTGTGAAGTCCACACAGACCCTCCATTTCCCGCTGGACTTTTTCACTAGAACCGGGCTGGATATCCACCTCGAATATATGGCCTCTCTGATGAAACCACTGCGATTAAGTTTACTTACTTCGTCTTTCAGCGCCTCGTACCGTTTTGGGTTTAGGGCGCGCCTCTTCTGTCTATGGGGGGCATAGGAGGGGTTGATGTTAAGGTGATGGCAACTGATCCTGGGATCTATTCCCACCATATCCTCATGTTTCCATTCGAAGACATCCAGGTTTTCTTTCAGGAATCGTATCATCTCAATTTTTGCTTCAGGCGATAATGACTTCCCTATGCGCAAGACTTGATTGGGGTCTTCTGGATTAACTGGGAAAGTTTCCAGTTCTTCCATTGGGATCGCATGTGGTTCATAATCGATTATTCGGGGGTCTAACTCATCAAGAGGGTGTCCTTGTTCAGGGGCCTCTTCCATTACGACATCTTCCTCTTGTTCAGAGGTATGCCCTTGTTCAGGGGCATCGAGCATTTCCACGTCCGTACCGGCTTCAGCGGGTACTTCGGCTAGAATTAAATTGATAGTTCGGGGCTCAGATTTACGTAGCGAGTTCAGGTAGCATGCCCTGGAGCCCATCTGATCGCCCCGAACCGTTGCAGTCCCACGTTCGGTTGGGAATTTCATGCACAGATAGTGAATGGACGTCACAGCCCAAAGATCTTTTAGAGCAGGTCTGCCCAATACTCCATGATAAGCCGACCTATGATCTACCACCAGAAATTCCATGAAATGCTGGGCGACCAGGGGGGCCGAACCCATTTCCACTGGCAGGGTAATCCGCCCTCGTGGGATGATGCTGTCCCCAGTGAATCCGAACAGTGGGTCAGTCATGGGGATTAACCCATGTTCAATTTGCATTTTGTCAAAAGTGGAGCCGAACAATATGTTCACGGAACTGCCGTTGTCAACGAGCATGCGCTTTAATCCGTTTCTAGCCACTATGGCCCTTACAACCAAAGCGTCGAATGGGGATGGTAAACTCCCTCTGAGTCTTCCTGTGAGAAGGTGATTAGGGTCATCTTGTTTGCTGATTTTGATTCGTCGACAATGTAGGTGATCATCGGGGGATCCTTAGCTTCTCTTGTATAATTTCTCTGGGCATTCCTGGTGTTGCCACCGACGTGGGGTCCCCCAATGATGGTATCGATTTCCCTGATGACCTGGCTTCCAGTGAATTGAGCTTGTTCTCTTGCCTGGATTGGCCCCGGTTTCTTGATTCTCTTCTGCGAGGAGATTGTTCTTGGTGACCCCTTCCTCCCCTCCTCGGGGAGGTGGATCTGCGAGGGTGCTCATTTCTGCTGGAAGTGTGGGGGTTGCTTCGATCAGGGCGCCGGTTGGCATCCCGACACTTGCTGGTGTCATGCCCGTATAGTTGATGGAAAGTACAAAATCTTGCTCCTGGCAAGGGCCTGTTTGGCCTCTTTTTCTTCTTCTTGTTGTTGTCAGTTCTTCCAGACGGTCCTGCCTCAGCGAGTGCGTTATCATATGCTAACACCGACACTACGTTCAATGTGGCGGAAGCTAGGGTCTGTCCGGATGTGGGAGCTATGGTATGCCCTGCTTGGGTCCATTGCTGAGTAACAAGGTGCGCTGCGGGGCCTCGACCTACCTACCTCTGTGGGGGAGGGAGTCCCTGCGCGGCACGGTTACGATGATCAATCATTTCTTCACTAATTACTCCCACCCTCATCATCTCCACCAGCTCGTCGTATGTGGAGGGATTCTTGCTGCGCACATCCCTCCAAAACAAAGTGTTCATGTTGAGACCGCCTTTCAGGGCTGAAAGGGTTTCCCTGTCAGTGACCTGTTCGCAGTAAGTAATCTCGTCTGTAAACCTGGCGAGATAGCTTTTCAGCGTCTCTCCAGGGGCCTGCCTCATGTCTTGCAGGCGTTGGATTGGCGCCTCTCCTTCCCTGCGAGAGAGGTACTGGTTCAAGAATGCTTTCTTCAAGTCCGGCCAACTTCTGATGCTTAGGGGAGGAAGCCTGCTATACCACACCTCGGCGGCTCCGCCTAGTGTTAAATGGAAGGCTCTGCACTTTAGAGCAGGTGAGGCTCCCCTAAGACTCATTTGCGTCATATATTTTGTGAGGTGCTTCTCCGGATCCCCTTTTCCCTCATACTTGGGGATCTTAGGGGGCATGAAATTAGTTGGCATTGGGAAGCTCCGGATTTCCCTTGAGAAAGGGAGGTTATCGTCATCGTCGTCAATCTCATAAGATCGGCAGGGCCCCTCTGATCCTTGATCATCTTGGATGTCTTGGGGTGGAGGGGGGGCTTTCCCCCGGCTTCCCCAATCGACTAAGTTTCTCCTCTCCCTCCTATTTCTAGGAGGAGGGGGCGGAACATACTCTTCTTCGTGGTCTGACCGGACCGACCCTCTTGAAGGGCGGACCCTATTGCTAGGATCGTTCCCTATCCGGTCGAAGACGCTTACTGACCTCTGGTCATCGTGTTTTTGAGGAAAGTTGTCCCCCAAGAGTGGTTCTGATGGGTGGCTCTCCTGCACATAAGATGTCACTTCGGTGTTACCCTCTCTTTCGAGAGGACGTTCTGTGTGCCGGCTCATGTGGCCTCGAGAATGAGACAAAGGGATTTCCTGTACCGAATACGATCCTTGGGGCATCTGGTGTCCCTGGGCTTGCATGAGAAGTTCCCGCATCGCCATATTCTGAGCTGCTATGTCTCTCATGCCCGCAGCTATCTGGGCCATTCCTTCAGTGAGTATGGCTGTTCTTTCGCCTCGTCGACGCCGGTGATGCGGTCTCTGATGAGTAACATTGTTATGGAGTACCTCTTCTTCAGAGGCCTCTCTGATGGGGTTGTCTTCACGGCTGTAGCTCATCCTACCTCTTCTTTCAAGGATAGTAAGAACTTGGATTGTAATTCGACTTTTGTTCTTTTTCAAGAATGCCCCCTTTTCAGGGTCAGTCGTCGGTTTTCCAGTGTCTTCTCCGATGGGGAATGTAAAACTTTAAATGGGGAATGACGTTTCCACCGACGACGCCAAACTGTTGACCTCCAAAAATGGCTCCTCCACGTGGCCAACTTATAGTTACTCCACGTATTCCCCCCTGCGAAATGAACAAATAGTCAGGCGCACACGGTCGGAACCGACGGGGGTGGCGGCCGTATACACTCCGACGGTCAAGTCAGGTTTGGGTGGTCGGAACAGTGCCCTGGGGCTACACAAATCAATCAATAAAGGGGGAGGAGAATATATAAACTTGTTATGGAATGCTATGTATTGAGAGTTTCATTACCTTTGCCTCTTGCCAAACTTTGGGTATTTATAGGTGGTATGAACCGTGGGATGTGGAACACGTGTATACATCTGACGGTATGAAGCGTCTGCTCATAGGCGTCAATCAGCCGCGCTTGTAGAGTGGGCAGACAGTTTGTTTCCCCCGAGTTGAATTGACATAAAGTTGATAAATCACATCTAATAGTCTCATGGGGACGTCAAATCAATTTAAACCTTATATGCAGAACAAATCTTAAATTGGCAACGGATCTTCTAACCGGGGTCCACCTGAACCCGACCTCGGAGGTGGGATACTTCGGCAGATCAGTAGTAGGAATCGATGTATCACTTCGGAGAAGCTTCGGGAAGGTCGGAGTGGTTTATTTGATCTCGGCTTCGGTGGTGAGATGACACTTCGATATCGAGGCTCCTACAATGACTCAGGCAGCACATCTGCTGCATTTTTGAAGAGCAAGTTTGGGAAGCTTACCAAAGAAGAAAGAGTACTTAAAAGTAATTTATGTCCAAGCTTAATAGTTTTCAAGATCTCTGAGTCAAGAATTCCAATGACTTCCCTCGGTATAAGACAGAATAATAAGGTACCAGTTGATAACAAATTTACGACATATACGTCTCCATCATTAATCCTATCCAATCCAATATTTATACGTGTTTAACACTGACAAATATAAACAAGAAATCACAGAATTCACCATTAACAAAGCAAAACAAAGCATAATATAACTTACAAGAAAGCTAAAACCAGTGACACCACATAGAGAAATGGCTATGGAGGTGCTGGAAAGAGAGAGTTCACCCAAATGACCAACCATCATTACTGATATTACTTGAAGCAGATACTGTGATAGAGTCACAGCTACCATAGGTCCTGCTAAGTACCCCAGTCTCTTCATCTCCTCCCCTATCAATAAACCCCATCTCACTCTCTCTCTCTTCTCTTCTCTATCTTCTTTCAACAACAAAACCTCCTCCATTTTTCTTTGTAGAGTTCGAAGATTTTCTTTTCTTTCTTTCTCAGCAGCCCAACCTTCAAGAATTTGGAGTTCCTGGACTGACTCTCAGAGTAAGAAAATGATATATAGGGATTGTTTGAGAAAGTCTTCCATAAAATTATTAGTAGTTGATAGTCACACATTTTTCATATTTTTTAACAAAAATAAAAGCAACTGGTCCAAGCGTCCAACCTCTTCAATGAAAGCCATGATGCTCATACTCGAGTACGAGTATGTCTCTAAGGGATTGTTTGGGTTCGATTTTTTCATCCAAAAAATTGATTTTTTAACCGTTATTTTACTATTCCAGCCGTCATATTTGACTTCTTCTCTCACAGGTGGACCTCACTTTTCTCCTAACGGTCAAAAAATCAATTCTCAAAATCACTCCCAAACAGGCTCTAAGTATCGAATCTTTTATTCTTTTAAATATAGGATATGAAAGCATGGTTAAAAAAAATCTAAATTTTGGATACAAGTACGTGGGTTCGTCTTTGAAACTTGAATTTTTTTTACTAATTAAAGATGTTTTGAATAGACCAGAATCAATTATTCACAAAGAATGAAATAATATTAAATAAGGATTAAGACAAATAAAATAAAATTTTGGGATTTAGTTTTTAATTATGAGAAGTTAATTACTAAGTGTTATATAGACTAAAAAATGAGGAACCTGATTGCAATTTGAATTTAGTGAAGTACTAAGTAGTATTATATGGAACCATTTTCATTTTATACAAACAAAACTCTAAACCACAGATACATAGAAAGAAAGAAGGAAAAAAAGTGAGAAAAGAAAAGGGAAAGAAAAAAGAAAGAAGAAGAGAAAATCTAACACCGTCACCTTTCTTCCCCTCTCGGAGGTGACGCTAAATTTATAGAGAGTAGGAAAAAAAATGAAGCAAAAAAAGGCGAAGTGTCCGGTTGAAATTTGGAGGATTCAATACATATCTCATACTCATACACACATTTCGTGTCGTATCCGACACGAATACTCTAACCATTTCAAAGAGTTTGAACATCAGAAAATGAAAGATGATTTGTTGTTATCCCAGAAAGTAGCTTACCATTATGTGACCTGCAATCTGAATCAATATATTATAGATTTAGCCCATGTTTGAGCCCCATTACTTTCAAAAAATACATTCTTAAATAATATTTTGATATCATTTTAACGATACATTCTTCAATAAAATAGTATTACATGTAAATCTAAAATTTTTACTTATTTTTTAATCACATATTTTCCATCAATACATTATTTAAAAATTTATTTTCTCCGGGCTCAAACAAGGGCTTATTAAAAGACTTTACTTTATCTATCAAACATTAGTCAGCAAATGAAAGATGATTTGTTGTTATCCCAGAAAGTAACTTACCATTACGTGACCTGCAGTCTGAATCAATATATTATAGATTTATTAAAAGACTATAACTTTTTCTAAAACATTAGTCAACAGTTAAAGGCACGATCCTCTTGGTTTCTTTGAAGGCATGATCCTCTTTTGTCTCTTTGTAGTAGTCCTTATGTCTACATACATCTTCCTTTACGGTCAAGTGTCAAACTCAAATAGAGAAATGTTTCAATATATTATATATTATGGGTACGTTTATTTTTCATTTTTGTAAAAATAAAAATAAAAAATATAATTATTATGGACTCCATAAGAGATAGAAATTTAAATTTGATGACTTGATGTGATGGATAATGATTATATTTTTCATTTTAATGGAAAAAGAATGAAAAACAAACCGGGACTATATCTCGTGACTTATATTACATCGTTTATAATAATTACATACAGTCAGTAGAACAAGTTAATTAATTTTAATTATATATTTTACGAAAATCACAATTTTTATCAATTTTTTGATCACATATTTCATGAACTTTTATCTCAATATGCTATCAAAAGCTTTGTCAAACAAGCTATTTATGTCTTCCAGTAAATTTTGTTGGGAAATATTATGTATAAAGAAAACACAATTTTGCAAAATTAATTTAATTCAACAATAAACTAATTTAAATAAGAGTTTAGAAAAAAATTTCATTTGGAAAGTCGAGTCAAATTTGTTAACTAAAGTTTGTGTAAGTATTAACGGCTCCACTTTTTAACATTGATATTATATTTGTGCATACTACACATCAATGGAGTGTCTTATTAAGCTCTCAAATTCTCTTTAGCCACGATTTTATATATTCTTTAAAATTAATTTTTTTCTTAAATTCATTTTCGACTCCACAACTTTTTTTTATAATATAAGCAAGTATATTAAAGTTATAAAGAATTTATAATTTGCACTCTCAATTAAACAATAATAAAATGAATATTAAAACTTATAAAAATGAAGGTTCAAAGCTTTAAAATAATTTATTGTTTTACAAATTTGACCATGAACACAACAAAATGAAGAAAAAATATTCATCCAGTCAACTTTAAATTAATGAAAAACAAGATTTAATTTTTCATTTTTCTTGTTATGACATGAATCATTCCATACGGTTTATTTCAATGTCCCCATTAACAACATACAACATTATATTTTTCATCAAGTGAAACGATTCATCAAAAAACTAAGACACCAAGGTATAAAACGTCAAAACAATGTAAATGAGCATTTTTAGCTGCATGAACTCTCTCTTGGAGATATGGTCACAAGGTATTATGTTATAGATCATCAATGAGAAACAAGTTTCAACTTGGTCACCAATAGTGTTGAACCCAATTCTCTCTTCAAACAACAGTACAAAATCTTCCAAAACCCGATTAAGAACCCTTTGTAACCAAACCACTATAAGGCAAATCATCGGAGCTCATACTAGCAAACGGTTATAACGTATAACTACCAAAGGATAGATAATCGTGTATGAGAAGACAGAAACTAAGTTCAGTATGATAACTTATATGGGCATTTCTCGAATGTGGGGTTCCCTGGAAACTTGGTAAACTGCCTCCAACATATAAAATTTGGATGCCACGTTGACTTTTGTAAAGTAAATCATCGGCCAAGAAGCTTTACCATCCATGCTCCACCCAAATAAAGACCCATAAGGGGTCCAGCCAGCAGCAGTTGAGTAAGAGGATCTGTTGATGGTGTAAGTATTGCAGCAGCAATCACTGCACCTACCACTACATATCTCCAAACAGAGAGCATCTGTTCTGATGACACTAAGCCCAGTTGCCCAATTAGCAGTTGTATTACTGGAACCTGTAGAGGGCGACAAAAAGACGAGGCATGAATCAATTTGTTGAAAGGAAATATTGCATTACATCTGAGATTAAAACAATCTGATCCATGTGAGCGGAACTTCTTTTTTTAGCATCTTGCAGACATTATTATCTTTTTGCGCCTATTTCTTCCCATCAGATAATTAGATGGTGTTCCTCAACCTCCAAAACATCTAATCCATTCCTATCAAATCCACCAATTGTTCTCCCCACAAGGAGGAGAACGGTGCCACAAATTTACATCACCGGACAACACATTAGCCCATAAACAATACACTTGTTCAAATGACACATTTGAAATTGTACTTGAGCCACTGATTTAGATAGCAATATTGCAAAACCCAAGTGTTCTTTCCAACCCAAACATGACAAGGCTTTATTAGTTTATGAAGGAAATGACTTCCATAACCTTCGAGCAAAAATAGTCCAAGAAACCTATGAGGATAGGAAAGTCATTTCACCACTGTAGAATACGAAAGACGAATTGATAAACCAAGTTAAATGGAAGGTCAGATATCAGCACTATTTCGGTATAAACATCAAAAAAATCAAAAAGCAGTTGGAATAGATCAGTAACTTTACACAAATATAAATAGATATAGTAAACACACAGGAGATTAAGTGGCCATTTCAAACTAGAGTGTGGGTAATGAACAAAATAAACAACAGAAAAGGAGTAAACTGCAATTAACACTGTGATTACTACTAACAACCTATCCAGGAAGACAGGATAATATTATTGAAACAGAATATTCTGAATGAAGGAGATAATGCAGATAAAGAATAAACTCTACCTGGAAAGATAATCCAGTGCTAAACATGAGCACAAGGACAAATTCAAAGTACTGATCAATAGACCACAGTGATTCAACAACCCCTTCCGCGTAACTAACAAAAAATGTCAAGGCTGCTGGAGTGAGAACGTAATAAGAGAAGATTAGGCCTGCATAAAAAAGAACTGAGGACCCTAGGACAATTGGCCCCAGGAATCTTCTCTCTTCCTTTGTTAAACCCGGAAAAACAAACGATATCATCTCATAGAGAATCACAGGGCTTCCTAGTAGGAGGCCACAGTATCCTGAAACCTGCATCAAATATGAAATTATTCATTCTGTACAACAAAATGTAAAAGAGAAAACAAAAACTGTCATCCCAACACTTTTGGTTTAAGAAAGGAAAAAAATATATATATATATTGCTATGAAGGGGCTACTAACTGGATATACAGTAAGTGTTCCCTGGCAGCAAATGTTCAAAGTTTGCCTAGACTATGAAGGAAATAACTTGAATTTCATAAAATGAGAAATACTCTGTTTTTCTGTGATGCATTAAATATGAAACCCATTCTTACTAAAATTCAACCCTGACATGAAGGATTACATCTTGAAATTCAACGAGAGCATGAGTGACGCTTCCTGATGTAGATAAACTAAGCAATTGCTAACAGCTTTGAAGTAGATTAACTGTGTATTTTCAGATTGCATACTAATTTTCCACTTAAAGAGTGATTAGTTACATCAGAAAGTTAAAGTTTAACATCTAATCCAGTTATGAAAAAGTATACTCGAATGTAGTTATTATATTCTGTAACCTGCCAAAACTATACACAGTTCTTGAATTGGAATAAGTGAAACTTTGAAAGGGCATAAGATAACAGGTGAAGCAATTTAGAGAAGGAAACATTAGTCCTGTCATATGAATCACTAACTTACTAAACTTTTGCCAACAATGGCCTTTACCTAAGATAAATAGAAAGCGATATGACAAAAGCACTTGTGTCACTCCCTTGTATGGAAACAAAACCAAGGCACAATCTAACTGCAGTCGTCAAGTTTAGCCCCCTTTTTGACAATATATATACTCTAATTAGAAACTATCACTAACAAGGGGTAGATTACATACAGAAAACACATATGCTAATATGTCGTGTCTAAGGTCAAGAAATGTTTTACCTCTAGATTAGGTTACACGAAAGGTTCATTAAATCCCAGCTGTACATGTATTTCAGGGGCTAAATGGGAGCCTTGGAATTCTCATTACTGGTAACAGACACAGACAAGAAAATGCAACTAGAGATAGAAGCTGTAGTTTCGAATGACCAGAAGTCTGAATGGCTACAATAATTAAGTTATAAAATTTTATTTAATGCCAAATGAAAAGAGAACTACAAATTCACTTATGGAACTTAGAGATATTGATGATAAAAACATGTACCTTTAGAGATGTGAAGAAGAACTCTCCAGGAGCTAGTTGCAAAAATCGAACACCTTGTGCACTAACTGGAGCTTCAAGAAATATAATAAGTTCCTTTGAGAACGCAAAACAACCAAGCATAGCAGCTCCAATGGCTAAAACTGACGTGAAAATTCTCTGTCTCAACTCCTCTAAATGATCATATATGCTCATTTCTTTATCATCAGGAAGGAGCTCTTTACTAGGATAAAGAAAATTGTAAATAGGATTCCCATCATCATCTGTATCGCGGGTCAGAATATTGGGGATCTAAGTACCAGACACAGTACTTTGAGCACTCGCAAAACTGAAGTGCAATATAGCCTATCCAATTATGAAATTCGCACCTATGGCGCTAGTTATTCACAAAAGTCACAAACCAACTTATATATAACTAAACTGTTAAAAAAACTACCTCGAGACACCATGATGAAGAAATAATGCGCCACAAGCAAAAAGACATGAAGCCGTAGCCTTTACAACAATTCCACTCCAAAACTACACCAAAATATAATATTATAACAAGAAGGCATCAAAACTTGAAGTTTTGAACAATAACCCAGTGTCAGCAATGAACTACCGACAGAATTTAGATAACCTGAAGAAATAAAATGCCCAGATCAAGAAATACGGAAAATCGAAAACCTGCAAAATGAATGATTGCAGCTAAAAGCATTCAAATGAGACCATATTTTACCCTTTCTATCTTCAACTGCTAAGTCAGCTCCATTCAGACTGCCTCTACTCAATTCTTGCTGCTTCTCGGTGGCATCTTCAACCGCTGAGCAAACAATCCTTGCAAATTGCTTAGAATTCGTTTTATTCGAGAAGCTCGCTGGTTTGGGTTTTCTAGTGTTGATTTGCGAAGATGTTTTAGGGACTGGGGACGAATGTAAGCATTTGAAGCAAAAGGGGTTATTTTTCAGGTGTAGATTGTTGATCAGAGCACCTGTGCTCTCCATTTCTGTTGACGGTCTGTGGTTATGTGAGAAAAATGTGCTGATTTGAGCTTGCAATAGCACGCTTGTCGAATGGCTCGAATCTATGGATAATGGGCAGAAGGGGTTGACGGACTAGGCCAAGGGAGCCTGACGATTGGAACACGGCTTCTTTTGTGCGATTTTATTGCGAGGAAATACACGAAAATGGCTCTTGGACTGTAGCAAATTTTGACATTGACCTTTGACCCAATAAATAAATTTAAAAAAATTAAGTTAAAAAAAAACTTTACACTAAAAGGATGATTTTACCCTTCAAAATTGTGACTGTAAAACAAAAACTCTCTAACCGACCCAAAAATCAAACCGTCGCACAGTAGCCTGAAAATTGACCGACCAACCATCGGCCAACTACACCAACGTCGTAGTGAGTAAAATCGCCGACCAGAAGCACGATCTACACCGAAAAGAACGATACCGATTAGTTTTCTTGCAGATTTTTGTCAAAATGGAATAATATTACATTTTTTGTTCCGGTTGATTTATTGAATAATATGACATTTAATGAGTTTAATTAGATCTTATAAGCATAAGTAGTTAGATTGTGGGCATGTTGGGGTGAAAAATGTGATTTTTTTTTTAAAATTTTGGACCTCTATGACGTCAGCAATGACGATTTCCGGCGAGTTTCGTGAAACGTCGTAAAAAACAGTCGGACAACCCGACTGTTAACAGTCTGCAATTTTTTTTAGAAAAAATATATTAATTTTTATTTTTTTTATAATTTTTGTAATTAATTTGATTTTTTATTTCATTAAAACTAAATTATGTTATTTATTTATTTAATTTTTATAATTGTCTTTTATTTAATATAAATAATTGAATATTATCTAAAATTAACAATTTTGTGTTGTTCCCTTTTTTTTTTTAATGAAATATCTTTAATTTTTTTTTCAAATTTATTTAAATAATATAAATATTTTTTACATTTTTTTAAAATGTATTTAATTTGGAATTTTTTGTTTGTATTTATATTTTCCAAATGATTACAAGATTAATTTTTTTTATAATTAATTTATTTTAATTTGATTAAATAATAATGATGTTATTTATTTATGTAATTTTTATAATTGTCATTTTTTATATAATTTAATAATTAAATAGATAATGTTGTCCGAAATTAACAATTTATTTTGTTCCTTTTATTGTTCTTTTATTTTCACCTTTGATTTTTTTCTAATTTATTTAAATAATATTTATATTCTTTAATTTTTTTGAAAATGTATTTAATTTGATTTTTTTTAAATATATTTTCCAAATGTAATATTTGTGATTAATTTTCTTTATAACTAATTTATTTTAATGCGTATTGTATGGTAGTTAGAATTTGGTTCCCTTGATTTTGTGAGATTATGCTTTATTTTGTTATCTCTTGTTCAATGCTTTAACATTTGAATTTTTGCAGGATAGAGTATCATTTAGATGGGGAGTTGAGACGGATGGTGGGGAAGGCTACTTGGAACAGTAGTTTTGAGAGTTTTACTGCTGTGTTGGAGCTGCTTGATGATCAGCACAGAGATATGTTACGACAGTCCTTCTTGTGGCCATTGTACCAGTTTGCGAGAGGTGCAGTACTTAGGACAGATCATCGATGCACTTCTATGTCGGCTTCTGAGGCCAGTCGACGGTGATTCCCTCCAGTTCGACCTCGGGGGCAAGGTCGTCAGTTTCTCGACGTTTGAGTTTACATTGATCACTGGAATGAGGATTACCGGCGACGATACAGCCATTGAGAGAAGCAATAGGCTGTACGAGACGTACTTCCAGGGACATGGGTCGGTGCTTCTACCCGACTTGATGGTCGCAATCACGTGGTGCGACCAGATGCTAGATAGATTGAAGTTTAAGCTGGTCTACATCCTCGAGAGTGTGATGAGATGTCATCACAAGAAGACTGTCATCGACATTTTTCATTTGCAAGTTGTTGACGACTTCGATGCGTTCAACAACTATCTATGGGGCCGGAGATGCTACGAAAACACTGTACATGTCTTCACCAGAGCACACTCGAGGCCCAGGGGGTCGATGCGTAAATACGATACATATGGATTGCCCTTAGCGGTGCAGGTAAATGTTTAATATAATCAAAGTTAAAGTTTTAGTATATTACATTTGTGCATAATAAGGTATGTGTTACAGATTTGGGTGTATGAGACAGTCCCTGTACTGGGAGCCCGCTTTGCGCAGCGAGGGGAGACACGCTGCTCTCGGATACATCATTGGAGATCATCGCGAGCGGAGGGATGTCCCACTGGGAAACAATTATCGGCCCTCCTCGACGATCGTCAGGTAAGTATTATGCATTTGTGATTTATATTATACGTAGTTTAAAATTCTGTTTACATGATCGTTAAATAGTTGAAATGTCAATATGTCAGCTTGAAATCATACCTGAGTTGACGCCATCGATGGAAGAGGAGGCTCGGGGTCTTGTGCGGGATTTAGGCGTTCCGCACACCCCAGACGAGGAGATGTCTGATCTGAGTTTGGACTGAGATTGGGTATGTGAATGAAATATAATTTATTGAATATCGTCGACGTATAATTTATTGAATAATTTGTAATATTATTTATGTAAGAGGGCGGTCCAGCTAATCCACGATCACCTCCGCCGAGGGTATCGCAACCATCATTGGCATCACCTCCGCCGTGAGTATCGTCCCCGCCATTGGCATCACCTCCGTCGAGAGCATCACTGCCGCCAGTGGCATCACCTTCACCGAGGGCATCGCCGCCGCCATTGGCATCGCCTCCGTCCAAACACCTCCTCCGTGTGTCTCCGGCACACAGTGATGATTTGTATGCCCGTTTGACTGGATTTATAGCGGAGGAGGTCGGATCGCTACGACGAGATTTGACGGAGAGGGTCGATGATCTGTGACGAGAGTTGACAGGGAGGGTCAACGATCTGGCAGGGAAGGTCGACTATCTGACGGGGAGGGTCGACGATATGGGACAAGAGTTGACAGAGAGGGTTGACGATCTATCCCATGATGTTGGAATACTACAGTCTTCCGTTGTCAACCTTCAAGATACAGTAGCGGCGTTTAGAGGAGATTTAGTCGGCAGACGATGGGGGGACAGAGGGGATGGCGGAGATCATGATCGAGAGGGTGGCAGAGATGGTGATGGAGAGGGGGGTCACCCACATTTTTGGGGTGATGAGACATTGGAGTCATTATGGTTGTCTATGGAGGGGATGGCCCTGACAGGAGGGACGAAGAAGGTGGCGACGGAGGGAGAGGCCCCGATGGGAGGGGCGGAGGAGGTGGCCCCGAAGGTCAAGAGGACGCCCGGCGTGATTAAGGGTAAGAGACATGCTGTTGACGAGCCAGAGCAGGTGGTCGGCAAGAGGTTGAGAGTGCCGTCACAGTATGTTGTTTCCCCCTTCACGGCTGAGGCCAAGAGAAGGACGTTCATCGATGGGACGCATCCGAACTTATTCAGGGAGGTGGACAATGTCAAGTGGAAAGCGTTCGAAACAGAGTGGCGGAGAAATATCCCCGGGTAAGTATTGTATGATAACTCGTCTACACTTATTTTAACATTTCCCTATTTTTTACAGAGTTAGCCGCACGATAGGTCAAAGGACGGTCTCGGACTCTTACAAGTGGTTCCACGATATCACCACTGCGGGAGCTTGGCTCGCCGACGATGTAAGTGAACTATTCATTTCGTGTATTTTATGTATACGTCACTTTGTGTTTATTAAATGAATAACTCATACTTTTTTTGTGTTTCCTGCTGCAGCACATCGACCTGGCCATGGACTTGCTGCGAGATCAAGCTCAAATACATCCAAAATCATTTGATGTCCATGGTCGAGTCATATTAAACACCGAGTTCTTGCGTGCCGTTACCATAGAGTATCAGTCGCTCGAACTTATGGGTAACGAGTACACGATGCCAGAATATATGCTTGAGTGGGTGATAGGACTGTCACCGAGTGTCGGGGAAAAATCATGGGAGGGTTGTACACATATGTACATTCCAGCGTGCATCAATAAACACTATGTTACGCTGGAGATCGTTTTTGCTGACTCGACTATATATGTGTACGACCCAGATCATTCATATTTGACACAAGGCCAGTTGGAGAAAAACCTAGAGTCCGTGGCTGTAATTGTTCCTATGATGGCCAGACGAGCGGTGATAAATGTACAGGACAAATTGCGGATTGTTTGGAACACGACGACAGCGCGACAGTTCGAAAGGTAAGTGTTTGAACTTTGTTGTTTTTATCTTTCAGATTTAGTTTTTACTTACACAGTACTGAATTGATTCATTCTTGTTCAATTGCAGCGGCGACTGCGACATATTTGCCATTAAGTACGTTGAATTTTTAAGTATAGGGCATACGGTTGATGGAATCAACCAGTCGTGGAAACTAGCATGTGATTTGTTCGAATTTAATGCTGACCCGCAAATTTGTATTAAATATATGTAACATTTCAATTGTAAATTTAATTATTTTTTGTGATTATGAAATAATTGTAAATTTGTGTTCAATGTATATAACATTCACATTGGTAATTTAATTATATTTTTTGTTTTGTTATTTTACACATAGGTCGAGTATGGAACTATTTTTTTTTATATGAATCATTATAAATATCATTTATCAAGAATAAATATTGAACATCGAAGATTTATAAAGAACAAATATTGAACAGTGTAAAGTAAAAGGAAATATTATTCATTTAACGTACCTGTCTAATCGTCATTTAGGAAAATTTGACTGGTACAATATTGTCGAGTATGCCCTACGGCTCTACACCTGCCACACCTACGCGGTCGAGAAAACTCTCCGGTAGATGGTATTCTAAATGTACTTGGATGTTCAGGACCACACGGTTCAACTGCTTGTGGCAACAAATTATGAAATGGGAGAATGTGATCGGGAACTTCCCACTCGACTTCATTTAGCAGAGGAAATATAGTCTCAGCATATGCTATTCTCCAAGACTCAGTCGTATAATACAAAGAGCATAACGGTCTCGCAGCAAAGACTCGATACATGGCCACCACAACTGCATGCTCACATGGAAAACTCTCCAACTGAAATCCCGTACAACCGCATGTGTTATCAGTCAAATCCACCATATATGTCGTATT